TTTATTAGTGACAAATGAAATACGAAGGAGTGTATATATTTTGATAATGTATATTTGCAGACAGACTGAATATTTCCGGTACCAATAGAATAGACAATGAATGAGATATAAATATAAATATAAATGATATCTTGTCGGCTGATGAGTTACATAGACATGCAAGCAAGTACAGGCATTCAGCCATTCAGCAAGTAGTTTTTTTTTTTTGAGACAGGGTTTCACTTTGTAGTTCAGGCTGGCCTTGAGCTCTCTATGTAGCCCAGGCTAGTCTTGGAACTCTCGGTGATCCTACTGCCTCTGCCTCCGGAGTGCTGGGATTAAATGCATGTGCCACCATGCTCAGGTATGCAAGTAGTTTTTTTTTTTTTAAAGATTGGTTTTAAAATCCAATCAAAGGATTGAGAGCAGATAGTTTTTAGTATCATAGTTAAAAAAGGAAAAAAATGTTTCACTCATCTATCCCAGAGGGAAATATCACCAGATACAAAACTCAAATCAGACAATACATTAAATAGTTCATAAGATTTTTATTGAATATCTAATGTGTAAGTCATTTTCTTTTCCAGAATTTTTGCTCTTCCAGTTTTCATTATCTGGTTGATGAGTCATAATCTGTACAGAGTAAAATCATGTATAACAAAAGTTTTTGTTTTTGTTTTGGTACTGGAGATTGAACCCAGGGCACGCAGAACCACATCCACAGGCCATATATTTATATCTATATTATTTTATATATTTATAAAAATTTTCAGACAGGATCTCTGTAAGTTGGCCAGGCTGGGCTTGAACTTGCAATTCTCTTGCCTCTCAGCCTGTTGGAACACTGGGATTATAGGCCTGTGCCACCATGTCTGGTAGACAACTGATCCTTGAGTAATATGGACTCCAGGTGGTTTGGGGATGTAAAGGAGGAACTATTACTGCAGGCTGGTCTGACAAGTTTCATAGAAACAAGTGGGTTTCAGCTGGAAATGGATGGATAGCTAAAACTTCAATAGGCTGACATTTCACAGGTTCATACATTAATTTAACAATTATAGTACCTTGTTATGTGTCAGCCACTGTGACAAGAGTCTAGGGTACAAAAGTAACAATACAGGTATATTCCCTGCACCAACAAACAATGAATCAGACAAATTATAATAGTGTGATAAATGTAATAAAGATAAATTATAATAGTGTGATAATGTAATAAACTGGGTGTTTGGCAAGTGTAGAGGAAAGGATAAATCACAGTGATTGGGTCAGTTAAAAGGCAGTGGTGTGAAAGACAGTCTTCTGGGTGGAGGGACAAGTTACAAAGGTCAGAGCCTTTGAGCCAGAGTCTGAGAGTTGGGTTGTCCAATATAGTAGCTTCTAGTCATATATGACTGTTGACACTTAAAATGTAGTTGGTGCAATGGAAGAAGACAAATTTATCATTCTATTTAGTAGTAGGCTTCAAACCAAACCCAGGGATGCATTGCCACTTAGCTACAACACCAGTCCTCTTTTGATAGCTACTTTGCATCAGTCACTTTTCTGTTGCTGGGACAAAATGCCCAATGGTCTGCAACTCTTCTGAAAGGAGAGGTTTACTTTGGCTCACCATCTCAGAGGTTCAGTCCATAGCTGTCTCACTCCAAGGCAGGAAAGTTATGGCAGAAGAGCCTGGTGAACGAAGACTGCTCACCTCATGACAGTCAAGAAGCAGAGAGTGAAGAGAGGATTGTGGAAGGGAGATATTCCCTTCAAAGGCATGGCCCCAGGTACCTCTTCCAACTAGTCCTCATATCTTTATAGCACACTTGGGTACGAATTCATCAATGCATCAATCCACTGATGAGTACAGTGCCCCAATGATCTAATCACTTTCCAAAAGCCCACCTCTGAACAAGAGACTTTTGGGAGACATTCTAGATTTAAACCACAATATACTTCAATATATTTACAATAACTTAGGTATACAAATCTAACTTTACAAAGTAAATTCTTATGAAATTAAGTACAGGAAAACTATTTCTCAAGAAAATGTAGCAATTGAATTGAGATAAGTTGTTAGTGTTAAAATACACACTCGATCCCAAAGATTTAGTATTTAAAAAATAAAATTCTGCTTTTTACTTTGAGTACATGTTCCATAACTTGGTTTTATCAGGTTAAGTAAATTATTACAATTCATTTCAACCATTTAAAAAAAAGTTTTAAATGTGGCTCTTAGAAAATTAAAAATTACATATTAGCTAGCATCCCACTTCTTCAGACAGCACTGGATTAGAGTACCACAAGGTGTGGGAGGCATGAAGCTGGAGCAAGCCATATTATGCCAGAATATGTGGGGCTTTGCAAGCCATGTGCATTGGGAAAATGTTCACTCAAGACAAGTTTTGGCTTGGCCAGGCAAGGTGGGATGCAACTAAAATCTCCTAGGGGGCTGAGGCAGTACGGTCACAAGTTCAATTTAGTGACACCTTATCTCCAAATAAAAATGAAGTGGAATGAGGTTGTAGCTCAGTCTTACGAGTGGCTCTGGATTTAATTGCCAGTACCACAAACAACCAAACAATCTGGCACTAATCTGAACATTTGGGATATTAGTGAATGATGATTTAGTGGTGATCATAGTTGACATTTCAGTGTGTGTGTGGAGTGTTAACAGTATACAAATATACACACCTTAAATACTAGACCATGATGGAAGGAGTTAAGAGCTATGAGGAAAAGAGTTGGCTAGGTTAAGTCTTCAGGAGTGCTGGGGTGTAAACTGAGGGACACTGCCCTCTTAAAATAGGCTGATTGAGGTTGATTTACTCATTTTTGAGGAAAAATTTGAAGGAAGTGATGTAGTGAGCCACATGGTTATCTAGGTGTTTTCTAGATAGAAGGAACATAAACAAAATACTCTGGTGCTAAAAGACAGGAGAGGGCCTGGCATGTTCTAGGTCAAGCAAGGCCAGTGGGACTGGAGCAGAGTGAGTGAAAGAGATGGAACTGAGAGTGGAAATCAGAGATAGGCAAACGCAAATCACATGGAGAACCATGGGCTAGTGCGAGAATTAGGCTTTTAGTAAAAGTCTGAGCAGAGGAATAACATGTTTTAAAATGATTATTCTGGCTCCTGCATTATTATAGGAGGTAAGAGGAGAATCAGGAAGACCTGTTGTTAGGTAACTGCAGTCAGTGTTCAGGTGAGAGATGAGAGTGGTGGAGCTTTGGGTGGACAATGTAGCTATAGTGAGGAACATTGTTTCCTAATAATGAAGGTTTTAGAGTCAAGGAAGATTCAAAGGTTTGGTTTGAGGAACCCAAATTATTGGAAATTGCCAATAATTGAGATGGGAGAGTGCTGAGGAAGCAGGTATGGGGGAAGGAGGAAGGATCACCAAAGACTGAGTCCTAGTACAGGAAACCTTAACATTGGGGAGGAGACAAAACCAGCAAAGAAGACTGAGGAGCAGCAATAGCTAGAGTAGAAAAAGCAAGATGTGGTAATCTTGGACGCTTCCTTGAGAAAGGAAGAATGGGACCCAGGATCCCAAATGCTGCTGAGAGGAAAAGAAAGGAAGTAAAGATTAAGGGTGTGTGATTACTAAATCAGTTTCCACTGACTGATTTAGGTTTGGACCAACCCCAAGCCTGGTACCCTAGGTTGAATATAAAAGGGACAGGAAGAAGCTGCTAAAGTTGCTTGGATTTACTGTTTGTTGCTCTCATCTGCCTGCTTGCCGTGGACTATCTCTCCTCTCTTTTGCCATGCTGTCCCACCTTGGAGCCAGCCAACTATGGACTGAAACCTCTACAGACTGTGTGAGCCAAAATAAACCTTTCCTCCTTTAAAAACTTCGGGTGTTGGGTAATTTGTCTCAGCAACGGGAAATGTAACTAAGGCACATGGTTTTCCCAGTCCTTGTTTTTCTATGGATGCTTGTTAGATCAGCATTGTTTCCCTGAAACTGTTGTGGGCAAACTGAATACAACCCCCGAAATGTAACTTATCACTTAGGTTAATATGCAAAATATTTTCAGGCATTAAATGTAACCCTGATGATCCAAACTTTTTCATTCTTCTTGGCTGATACATTTGAGTGTGGACTACTCAGGCTATCCTGATCAAAATCATGAAAATCAATGCCAAACACTCAGCAGATTACAATGCCAATGAAGATTTCTTTCTAAGTAGATGCAAATCTACTGATTTGTTAGTGGGCTAAGCCACTGAGCTACAGCTCTGATGCTAGCCATTATGCTCCTTATCCACCGAGGAAACAAAAACGCTGAAAATGACTATGGTGCTCACTTAGTTTTTTAAAAAAAGGTAGTGTAGTATCAGAGTGAGGTGTGTTCCAGAGGGCATTGGGCAGTGTCCTAAAACATAAGGTAGGAAAACTACACTCATTTTGTATAGACTGAATGATTAATAAATGAAACAGGACCCTACTACTCCATTCATTTGGGAAGTCTGCAAATGAGGTTGCTAGAAAAGGCTACTGAATCAAGAAAAATACCTCTCTGTGTTGGAGACAGCTTTATTTTCTAAAGGCAGCAAAAACAAATGCCCACACGTTTTTGCCCTAGCATTCTCAGGTACTTAAGAAAAAAGGAAAGTACGGTACTGTCTATATTACAGGGTAGTGAAAATAATCAAGCTACACAGCTGGAGAACCCTAGCTCAGATTTTCAGGTTCTTCATGGATCTCTAATAACTGGCTACCTGCATCAGGAAATCCAAGAATCAGTCACATGTAACCAGATGACTCAGCTTATTATCCTGAAATCAATCTCAAAGACACAAGCATACTTTACAGACTCTTTAAACAAATGATACTTTATCCCAATGCCAAAGTATCTTGTAATAGATCACAGTGAAAAGTTAAAATTCTCAGGAAAAAAATCTACCCATGACAGAAAACATTCTTGTAAGCATTAACAATAAAAAAAGAGTAAAAACATGCTTTCACTTTCTTTTCATTAAAAACAAAATTCACCAACTCATGTAAAATAACTTGTTAACTCAAAAGGAATTGAAACAAATATTTTTTATTTGTTATTTTATTTTATTTTTTATTGGAACCAGAGATCAAACTCAGGTCCTTGAGCTTACACAGCAGGCATCGAAACCACTGAGCTAAATCCCCAGCCCTGAAACAAATATTAACTTAAAAAAAATGTGACACACTACCTGTACAATATGTGTATTTAGTTTTCTACACAGTTTAACTTCTTAGACCAGCTCAGTCTTAAACATCTGGCTTTTCCTTAGGAGCTGTTGCAAACCCAAGTATTGTTCTGACTATATGGCAGCCGATGAGCCTCCTTTTTAACAGAATAAGGATGTAACTTCCTTAAAATACACCCCTCCTTATAATACTATTTGAAGTTTGCTTTATTAACCGAAAGTGTTTTCAAAAACTTTTATCTAAGTCAGTTTTTATTTTTACAACTTTATTATTTGCTTATATTCACTGTAGAAAAATGCATAGGTGCAGAAATATGCAAAGAAAATAAAAAATTATCCAGTATCCCTTCCTCAAATATAATAACACAAGATTTTATATATTTCCTTCTAGTTTTTTTGTACATTTACATGGCATTTTAAAACAAAACTAGTATTGTAAAATGCTTTATCATTTAAAAACATTTTATTACACAGCAGCCATTTCTTTAGGACATTAAATATTTCAAGTCATGATATTCAGTTGACTGCTTTACAATCCAATCATAAATAAAACATAATTTACCTCCAATCGTTAGATATTCAGACTGCTGTGAATACTTGGTATTATAACTAACACTATTAAAAACTCCTCTTTATACATAGTTCTTTGTATGTATTCTGGCACATTTTTAAAAAGAAATTCCTAGGAGGGATCAACAAAGTGCATACATATTTGTAAGCCTTCTGAGGCATTTTACCAAATTTCTCTTGAGAAAGAGTGTACCAATTTATAGCCACACAAATGAAACAGAGTCCCATTTCTTCCTCACATTCCCTGGCAGCGTAGGAAATTGGGTATTACCCTCAGCCTTTATTGTTGTAAATTCAATAGGAGGGGAAAATAAAGAGAATATTATCTGCTTAAGTTTTTCTCTAAAAGGTAAGATTCCTCCCATATCTGCTGTCCATTTGCTTTTCTTCTGTGTTCCCACGTAGTCCAAGTCTTTTAGGTGGAGTCTCTAACGTGCACTGTCTTGTCTTTCTTACTACATGTTCTTCTTTTGCAGGCAAGGGCATGAAAGCTGCATGTCTTTCCTATTTTTACTTCCTTTAAGTTAAGTATAATTCTCAAAATGTTTAAAATTAGGAAGTCGTCTTTTCTTCTAGGCAGCCATGCTGTTTTAGTGTCTCGGTAATAAAACAGAAAATTGAGCCATATTCTGAAGGGAAGAAAGTAGGCAGAGATTATGAGCTCTGTAAGTAGGGGAGCATGCTAATTACCTGGAGTGCCTGTTAAAAACCAGGTTCAAAACACAACAGAAAACCCCAGATTTTGATTTTGTAGAAGAGTTATCATCGAAGTCTGTATATCTTTCCAAACTAGAAGCCGACATACAATAGGCACATCAGTTATTCTAAAATGAACTGAATGAATGATACACATTTCAGTGATTAGAAGACAATACTATCCAGAAAAAGGAATTATTAGTATAGCCTTCCTTAATGCTCAATTTTGTCTACAGTAGCAATTTCTTTTCTCTCTTTAAGTCTCTGACAATTTGATGAAGGCTACCAGCCTCCATTAAAAATGCATATATGTAAAAACACAATTTCATATACAATTCAGAAGCTTCGAAAGAAGAAACACTGATTTCTATTACCTAAGGATTTTTTACTTAAAAAATTACCTTTAACTCTTGAGAGACTATGGTGAAAGTAGAAACTTAAAAAAATAAAAAGCCCTTCTCCATCGTACCTTGCAGTTGGTTATTTGGCTCTGCAGCAGCAAAATTAAGAGTCACATTTCCAAAGAACCAACATGGGATTGCTATACAAGCTATAGCTGTGCTGTCCTACACTATGTTTAGTGTACACTCAACTGAATGGAACTGTTTATAAAATAGAAACTAAAAAAGCCATCTGTTTGTAGTTTAAACCAACATCTGCTAATCTACATAATTCATTTTTGTTTCCTTTTTCTTCATAATTAGAATAATAAGAGCTTCCTGTATTTCAGTTATGCTAAAACACACGGGAAAGGGGCCATCATGTATTCATTAAATATTATTTGCATTAAGTAACATTTATCTCCTAGATATACAGTGTTGAAAGCAACAAATGTGCTTCCTAGTAGGGAAGATGGATTATAAATTTTAACATTCCTGACTTTGTGAGTCCTAAAGGGTGAGACACCTTAGTTACTTGCACCAGCTTGCAAGACCTACTTCCCAACTCCTGAATATCTCCATGTAGGTAGCTTCAAATTGGCTATGTTGGAGCATTTATAACATGTAATCAGCAAATGCTACATATCAAATCCACAGTATTTTCACCACACTACAAGCTGAGTTCATAGGTGATAGTTCAGGTAAGGAGGGTTTCTATTAACTTTTCAAATCTTCTGTCAATTAATGCCCCAGGATCCAAAAGTATACATGTGTTCCATGGAGACTTCAAGATATACCCCTTTTTGGGTATTAGGATAAATGCAATAATTGAACAATTTGAGGCAACATTTTATCAATGAAGTTACTCAAGAGAGTCACAAAATGTACAAAAAATATCATGCACTTCTGAGCTTAGCAGTCAGTTTAAATTATGTCCTGGGAATTAAGAACAAAGCTGGAAAGCTACCATCATGCAACCTGTCTTATGTTTATAATTATTTGTTAGTCTGATGCAACATTGACCTTAAGCAAATATTCCTTGGCACCATTTTAGTACTGCTCTGTAAGAATTTTGGCTTTAAAAAGCTTGCCAACACTTTGCATGGATCTAATAAGGAGAAAATAGTTTTGACAACAATGTAAGCCATATGGAGAGGAAGAAATATCAGGCTTCTGAGTGACACTTAGGGATTGCCTCTAGGACAATGTGAAGAATCTAGAGCACGAGATATAAAACTCCCCTCACCCCAGCTTCCAATGGCCTTGCATTACCAGGCAGAAAATACTGCTCAATTTTACAAGCACTTGGTATGGAAGCAAATGGCATGAAAACTTGGTGAAAAAAAAAAAATCCAGGTTTGTATAAAATCTATGAGGTGCTGGACCAAGGGTGAAGTGTAAGTCAGAAAAAAAGGTGGCCATAGTCCTTAAAATACCTACTCACACACAGCAAAGGACACTTACCTTCAGGTTATGGAGGGTTTCTGACCATTCCATGGACCCTACCTGAGGTATGGTAGTGAGGAGTAAACTTTTGGCTTTATTAGCATTTTCTTTCAGGGTCTTTAAAACCCGATCAACTGAAACCTAAAAAAATAAGAGCACAGGCTATTACTAGAATTTAAAAGTCCACTGCTATTTACAGAACATTTTCTTGAGTTCCAAACTTGTGTGGTGTGAATGTCTGTGCTCCTCCCAAATTCATGAGTTGAAACCTAATTCTCAATGTGAAGATATTCAGAGGTGGGATATCTAGCAGGTGTTTGGGCTCAGAGCTCCCACGAATGGGATTAGAGGTCAAAGAGAGCTCTCTCACCCCTCTGCCATGCGAGGGTCTGTGAGAAGATGGCTATAAGGAAATGGGCCCTCCCCAGACACTGAATTAGATCTGGGACTTCCCAGCCTCTAGAACTCTGAAAAATAAACTTCTGTCTAGAAGCTGCCTGGTTTATGAGATTTATTGTTACAGCAGCCTGAACAGATTAAGACAAACCTGGCGTACAAAGTCTCTTTACTCCAAATTTAATCCCATAAGCCCAAACACTGAATTTATCAAGATGGTTTTAGTCTTGGGTAGAAGTCTTGGAGAAACCCAATAGTATCTCTGAGAAGCACTAATGATTTCAGTATGGTGTCTGAGAAAATTATCTCAGCAGTAATAATGGGTCAGTGAGGTTGGGTAGCAAGGTCTAGAAATGAAGCTGTTCTCTCCAGGTACACAGTACAGTGAATTCATTTTAAAATTGTTGCTACATCAAGTATTTTCTCTTTAGAAAAGTATTCTAGCTAATAAAAAAATTATGCAATCATAGCATCGCCATTTTTATGAATTAATCGATCAGCTGTTCACAAAATAAACAATCCACCCCCAAAACAAAACAAACGTCATTATTATACTATGTGCTCCCAGATGAAAAAAAAAAAGTACTTATGGTAACTGAATTTGTTCAAATCTGTAGATCCAACTACTAATTTATAGATAACACAGAAGGCAGAGAAATCTGTTAAACTGTTCTAAAGAGAAGCTATTAGCAACCTAGACTGTGCGAAGCTCAACAGTACAAGGGCTTTGGTTTCCTTATACAAAGCTTGCAAGAAAACCACATAATTTATGACATTTAACTAGAAACTTGCCCAGGTATATTAAGGAATTTTTGTTAGAATACGGTAATAATAGTGTGATTATATTAGATACTTCCTGAATGTTTCTGGATTAAAATTATGGATGACAGTATAGATCAAATGTGACTGGCTGTAAGTTGATATAATAATGGTTGAGGGTGAGTGTTGGGACTCATGGATACTCATACTACTGTCTACTTTTAGATGTAACTGAAATTGCTTCATAAGAAAAAGTTGAAAGAAGTTGTGACTATAAAACTGTCCATCAGAGAAAGAATACTTATGCTTTACTATGCTAAGAAGAAATCTAAGATTCATGGGCACAGTGATTATACCTTTCTACTTCAAATATGATTCCAGATTCCTTCCACAAAAATTGAGAATTGTTTAGGAAAATGTGAGCACAACAGAAGAGGGAAGTTTTCACTACTGTGGAACACAAAACAAGGGGCTAGCTGGGTATTTACCAAGTACACTGTAAGAGCATAGTCGATGCTGAGTCACTACATGCAGGGACATGAAACATCCAAGAGATTTATCTATTTTTACTTATTTTGATATACTTCCTGTGAAAAAGATAACAGACTATTTTCTTTGTTCTTGCTTTGGGCTCCACCCCAAATCCTCTTCCTACTGACCCCATGACTCACAGTAAAATCTCACCTCCTAGTCAAAGCCCAGCTTACATCTCAAAGGTTATGTTCTTTGCAAACTTTTTCCTGATATGACACTTCTCCCCAACTCTATTGTGGCTATCATCTGATGGCCACCCTCCTACAAGCCAGCACTACACTTGTTGTTCTACGTATATAATTTTGTTTAATTCTCCCCAAAATGCTGAAAGGTCAGAATTGTAACTAAACAACTCCCATCACTCATTCCCAACCCTGGCTTCATTCCATAGAGGAGTAAACATGATAAATCAATTGCCTAGTGTCACAAGTAAATCGGAGCCATTATAAGTGAAAGTGGGTTTAGGCAACTCCAAACTTTCTTGCTATGCCAGGCCATATATTTAGTTTAAAGCACAATGACACACATTGCTGCTGAGCTGACATCATCCTTATGTGTCTTCCTTGTGGCATTACAGAGTTTAGTTTCTCTGGTTTTGAATAAAGTAACTGACTGCCTTCTAATCTTCATCTGGCCTAATAAAGGACTTCATTGCTGCTTTTGCAAAAGAGTCACATGTTTCTAGATAGAGCAGAAAGCCATAGGTAGGATGAGATTTGCTCTCAGGGAGTGGCAGGGGCTGGAGTTTTTATTATCTGGAAGCAGCTTCTCAACATCTTGAGGCTAGGCTATCACTTTGGTTACAAAGCTGCCAACCCAGGCATTATTGTGTGACTTAAAGCCAGAATTTGTAAATCTATGTCTCAGAATTTTAATACTTAATAGTTCATTACACTGAGGAGTTAGAACAAGCCAGGCATTTATGAAAAACAACCCGTGTCTATCTATGCCCCTCAAACAGTGCACATGGACACACAGATAGTAAGAATATCTCATCTTGCTTTATGTGCAATTGGGTGATGAAACAAGAACTCTCTGACATGGTGTAAGGGTTTCTTTGGAGATGTCACCTGGCCTAAATGTGCTTAGTCACCTCTATACTTCTTCCTTCAAAATTCTTTGACTGTGGTTTAACCTCTTTATTTTAAAACAAGACAAATGACAGGACAGATCATCTGGTTTCTTCAAGTAAAAGACAAGGAATGAAAAAAAGAGGAAAGGAAATATTAGGTTAAAAGACACACCTGAGGCATATCATTAACATACAATGTATGGATTACAGGGGATCTTTATTGTCTTTTTTTTCCCAGTACTGGGGGTCAAACTCAGGACCTTGTGCTTGCAAGGCAGATGTGGTGATATTGAGCCAAATAAATCCCCAGCTACAAGGGATCCTGATTTGACTGAACTGTTAAAAATTATGAGATCAGAGGGAAAGTGTGAACAGTCTAGATATATGATTATATTAAGAAACCACTGTCAGTTTTTGGGTACAGTATGTTATGGTTATGTTCTTTTTTTTACTAAAAAACAGGGAGTGCTTTTAGAAAAAGATTTACTTAAAAATGAGGGCAGGGGAGGGAGATATGGGTAGGGACATAAATATGACACAGATTGGCCAAGGTTGATTGATAATTACGGATGTTGGCTGATAGGCTTCATAGATATTTAAAGTTTTCCATAATAAAAGTGTTTGCTTTTGTAGTCTGATGTCACTGTTAAGAGTATCCTCAAATTCTAGCTGGACTTTGCTATCTTCCCTGCCTAAAACCCCTCCCTCACTGACCTCCCTACTGCCTGCTATATCCCACTGCTCATCCCCTTGCCTCCTCTCAATAGTGCCCTTCTTTCTTATTACACTTAAACCAGGAAGGCTTCTCAGACTTTAAATCCAATTAGATTGATATTAGTGAACTTGTCCACACTATTTCTTCATAATACTTAGCTTTCTAACACTGGTTTTCTCAAGCTCTGCTTCTCTTAAAGGAATCATGGCTGCTCTGTTAACTCTGACAGTTCCCATACTCAGCACAGCATCCTGCCATGGTAGGTTAAACAGGTAGGTAGTCTTCTTATAAGAAGAGGTAATAGTTTTTATTTCCCTTAGAAAACAATATAATAAACAGTAGCATAACACAAAACAAGGAAATTATCATCAAACTACACTGTTATCCTTAAAATAAGGCCTAAATCTCACTGTGATTCCCAACACATCTGTATGGCTACAATTACCATTCTCTATTGATTCTTGGATAAAGTATCTTGGTTTTTTTTTTTTTTTTTTCTTTTTCTATGAAGGTCTTTATTCTTATTTTCTGATGGGAGCTATAGGAAATATTTGGTAATACTTAATGACAACTTAAAAACCTTGTAGAAAGGTATTTTCTGAAACAAACACAAATGAAATAGTTAAGACACTCTTAATGACACATGCCACCCAGAAGCCCATGCTAGATATGCTCAGAAGAGAGTTCCACCTACTGCTTCCTCGAGCTCCTTCCAGCAATCATAATCGGTTGCCATGGCGATGCCTGCATAGCAAATTCCAGCCTCCTTAGCAAGAACCACCTCTGGAACTGTGGTCATATTGATAACATCTGCTCCCCAGGTGCGGAACATGAGGCTTTCTGCCCGGGAGCTAAAACGAGGTCCCTCAATTGTGATCACTGTCCCCTTTGAGTGGCACCGCAGTCCCAGCTTCTTAGAGGTCTCTATGAGGACCTGGAAGGGGGAAGAACCACAAACTCAAAACATACAGACATACATACAATTTAAGGTTTTATTTTCCTGGATATTTATCAAGTTAATAATGTCAAGTAGATTTTTCAGTATAACACCCTTAGGGAACCCAAAAGAACACAGAAAGGTGTTTCACAAGACTGTTTTCTCACTCAGTCCCTTGCACATATAGTCACAGCTACAAGGGCAAGAATGCACCTTTCCCTATGCAATCACACTTAATTCATTTAATTTAAGCTTGCCTGTGAATTCTATTTTCATCTTAGCTCTTGGTCTTCAGGCTAAGCTAAGGTGCCTCTTGTCATGCATGTCTCAGAGTTGGGTTGAGTTCTACAACCCAAGCTATTGAGAAGCTGAGTTCATTGCTTCTATACTGAATCTGCAGAGTTTATGTAAGTTTTTCCATGTTAAGAAACTTTCTCTTGCCTGTTGCAACTTCAAAGCCATACGGTGAAATGAGAATAGGGCTGTGCTAATATTTTTTTTGTTCAGGAAAACTTGCCTTGATATTCCTTTAGTAGCAAGGCCATGCACAGGTTTTTAAACATTAAAATGTGTGATCATTTTGTTCAGTGTTTTAATTAATAATGTAAGTCTATTTTGAGGTTATTAATTTTTTTTCTTAGTCCATGCTTTACCATTCCTTTTTAATTAAAAAAAATTAAATCTTAGCTGAGTGTAGTGGCACACACCTGTAATCCCAACACTCTGGAAAGCTGAGACAGGATTTCAAGCCTAGCATGGCTGATATATCGATTTAGAGAAACCCTGTCTCAAAATAAAAAATAAAAAGGGGCTGGAGATGTAGCTCAGCACAAAGACCTTGGGTTCCATCTCCAGTATCGCAGGAAAAAAAAAGTCACTTAACCTCTGTATGTCTCAATTTTCTCATCTGTAAAATAGAAATAGTATTGTATATTTCAAAGATATAATAGATATCATGAGGATTAAATGAGCTAAGGTACAGAGTAGTACAAATTGTGCTGGGAACACTGCAAACACTTTATAAATGCTAAACTGGTCTTCTAGTGATTATTAATACTAGTACCATCTACACACATTTGACACATAACTAGCAAAGGTCCTGGAATAGGAGACAAACAAAATAGAATGACTCAAAGTCTAAACAAGGTTCTAATTTAGGCCAAAATTGTATCTGCATGTCTTAACTACATAAGCAAATTAACTGATTTCCTTACAAATAACTCATAGTATGCCATGGTAACGGGAAAAACAATTTTACTGAGGGCCTTGTCAACTCCAAATTTAGAACCATCACAAGCAGTAGACAGTGGATAGTTAATGTGACCTCATGTTTATTTTATAACTACTGAAAATAAGATAATGTTCAATCAAAACTTTCTCTGAAGAGCATAGGTTATAAATGCAAATCCCTACCTCCTCTCCCGCTCTGATTTTTCTACGTTAAGATTTCACTGAGTATCTAAGAATAATAGACCTGTGTATCTTGGCTAAACTTCACTGTTGTAGTCATGTGCAAAGAGCAGCACTGCTGTGTACCTGTAAGTCTTCCTCATCACTCTGGGAGGTGGGTACCATGCTTGTGTGGAGGAGGAAAAGGTTTATGGATATGGACTGGCCACAGCGACAGAGTCTGGGGGCCTCACCAAGAAAGCCAACCCTTTATACTCCCAGAAGAACCGATAAAACACACTACAGGGTCAAACTTCAGTTCTGAGGGTAAGATGAGTTCATTTTCTTGTCTTAAGTAATCATAATGGTACTACTGAAACCACTATAATCCTCATAAGGGGACAAGCAATACAGTATTAGATCACCAGGCTAAATATAATGCGTGAGAAATCAGTTTATCTCTTAATATGACTAAAAGTGACACCATTCTCAGAACATGCAATACATATAACTAGTGCAAAAGGATGTCATTTTGAAATATTTCTTCCACCCTGTCCTAGGAAGCTTCTCCAAGAAAAACCACTCTTACAAGTTTTTTGGTTAGCTTTCTAGAAATACTCTATTTGTATATAAATATTTATACATTCATCTTTTAATATATAGATTTTAACACAAATGGTAGTATATGGTAAAAATTTTAATTACTTGCTTGCCACTTAACAATGACATTGTGATAATCCTTCCTTATAAATAAATAAATAAATAAATATGTGAAAGATTACATTGGTGTTGAAAGTGATAATTGCTAAGTGGCAGAATCATCCACTTTTTACATTTTTGGATAAAAGTTTAAAATCTCTATTAGAGTATGTAAGAAAAAAGTAACATTCTGAAAGTTTACTCTGGCCATTTTCTTCAACTGCCTTCCTAGTGTTCTCTCAGTCTTTACATGGGGGATTTCTGGCTTAACTCATTAATTACTATTTGAATTACTCTGGCATCAAGGGAACCTACATTATATTATTAGAAACTACCATCCTAGTGTTACAGTGACATGTGCTTTATATAGATTGTTAGCACTTCCTACTCACATCTAGTCCTAGTTCTCTAAGTCACAACTTTCTGCCTGGTACCAGATCTTAGATTTCATATCAACGTGCATATTATATTCTCTCTTTAGACTGTTTCTTCCCAAGCTGCCCCCAGACAGAAATAGACAAAAATTTATTCCCACTTCGTTTTGTACTGGACAGATCTTTGTTTCAGAGGTAAGACTAGCATCATTTTGCTATCTTCTGCTGATAACTATCCAGAAACACACATTATATACACAAATACAAACTTCACTTATCATTTTTTTCCCCTTAGTTTTTTTTTTTTGTACCTGGTATCGAACTTAGGACCTTGCACTTGTGAGGCAGGCAGCAGAACTACTGAGCTAAATCCCCAGCCCTCCCCTTAGTTTTTTTGAGACAGGATCTTGTTACATAGTTTAGGCTGGCCTTGAACTCATGGTGATCTCCTGCTTTAGCCTCTCAAGTGCTGGGATTACAGGCAAGCACCACCATGTCCAGCTTTATCCATCATTTAAAAAAAAAAAAGTGAGAAATGAACTCTCACAGTCATCATAGAGAAGCAATGTACAACAGTGCTCACCTGCCCCACTCCCAGATTTGGAGTCTATTTCTTTGACACCAGAGTAAGGTTAAAGTGTCCTTGGTATTTGCTATAATGAAACTGGTTTCCCAACATTATAGGACTGACATGAAAGCTAAAAGAAATTGTCTACTTTCTATATGTGGATATTAAATTACCTGAATGACTAACATATTCAGGTAGGTACATTCTGTAAGTTAACTTACAAGGAAGAATTTATTAGGAAGTTTGATTCTGAGAATACTTTTGATCTTTTGGGTTGTACTTGACTTTCAATCCTAAGATTGTAAAGAAAGTAGCACATGTGGACCAAGCAGTAAGACCTTTGAGCTGTGATGGACCTTATTTATTCCCTGAGAGTTCAGGCTGAGATGCTTCACCTTATAAAGTGCCATCATTGGCCCTTATGCAGCTGCCACTGTACTTCTGATATAATGCTGGAGAAAAAGCTGCACAGTAATGGACATACTCAGGTCAAAGCAAAAGATGCCAATTTGATCACATTTAGATTATCAATAATAACTTAATTCATAAAAGCAGTTATCAGATATTATTCTGTTACTGACAGGCATGATGCAAGGTACTCTGCATTACCTCTTTAATTCCTCACATAGTGCTAGGTGGTGCATGCTACCATTACTTCCACTTGACCAGTGAGATTGTGAAGCCCAGATGGCAAATAATTTGCTCAATTATATCCACTTATTAAATTGAAGAGAACAGACCTGACCCCAAGTGATCTGGCTCCAGAATGTCCACTCTTTATTAATATGCTATCCAACACCAAAGTATTTGAAAGGGATCCTAACAGCAAAATTGAAACTTATCAAAAAAGGTAGGTTGCAACTTAGAGGCATTATTAGCAGAGGGAAACAACTGTTCAAAAAATTTGCATAAAAAAGCAAACTTGATGGAGGAAGAGGGTCCACTTCCTCAGCCAAGTGATCTAACTGCTTGTGTCATTCCAAGCCCTTATGAACTCTTCTGGTACACCTCAGAAAGACTACAAACCTCTCTTGTTTTGGGGCAAAATGGCTCAGCCACTGGAATATGGCACACTCCTCTGGCACAGGAATGACTTCCATCATAGAAGGTCTGAGGTCTGCTGGTGGTCCTACAGAAAAATAAAGTGAAAGTTTTTTGTTTTGTTTTTTTAAAACAGCTACATCTCCATCTTCCAAGGGCTGGTGAACCACCTGTACCTAGGTTAACATCTTGGTCTACACTCCAGAGTTAATAGCTCTAGAAAAGATGAAGGCAATTGTTAATAAAGCAGCTTCACATGGTGTCTGGCTTTACTGGCTATAGGCTGGTGACAATGTGCTATACAACCGGAATTAAAGTATGACCACTTGGGATTGTAGGCACAACTTGATCATTGCCTCAGGGAGGCCAGGTAAACACTTGAGAAGTCAGTATGAAAAGGTTTCATCATCACAGATGCAGAAGATCACAGGGTAATACCCATCACTCAGATCTACCAACTTCCAAAATTTTATCTTGCTTTTTGTTAGTTTTCTCATGGTTGCAAATCTCAAGGTTCCATTTAGATCATATCCAAATTTCCCTGATGTCTTAAAAATATATATATATTTTAAAATAACAGTTACTTTGTTACTTTCAGAATTCAGATAAGGTCATTACTTTGCATTTAATGGTCATGTTTCTAAGAATATTTTCTACACTGAATCCCAATCATACTTTTCCAGGCTACTGACCCACTAAGGAAAGCAGCCATTTATTTGTTCTGTCCCATTTGGGAGTCTGCCTCTGCCATGCAGCTTGTTCCTCTACCCGCTGAAATTAATTATCTAGCTTTTTGGTAAAACATTTTTGAATCCACAAAAGAGAGGCTAAAATTAACCCAGTGCCAGAAATTTCTTGTTAGAAGTTTCTAGAACAAACTACTTTGTATGTCCATTACTTTTTTCTAAACTAGAACTCATGAGTAACTAAGGAAAGACAGTCTCCAACTTTCCCACAGAGGTGAGGGGTAGGGAGGGACAGGACAATGAAAAGCCAACAAGAGAAAGCACATAATCTGATGTCCTTTTCCAGGGGTGAGAGTGTGGGGGACAATATCAAGAAATCATTTTCCTGGTTCTATTATACAGCTGACATACCTACTAACCAAAATTAACCGGTTGCTTTTCAACCACCATATGCTAAATAGTGACAGTAGCTGGCACCAAAGCCACCTTTCTTGGAGATGAGGTCTCGGTGCTCTGGAAAAATCAGAACCCTGTTCCTGCTCTTCCCAACCCTTTGTCACATTTGTCTCAAGGGAAAGGCCAAATTAACCCCCAAAGAAATCCAGATGGGGATAAAGAAAAGATCAAATGCCTCTTCCAGCTTGTATCAACAGAGGTTTTCTCCAGCAGACTAGCCAACAAAATGGTGCCATACTTTTAACTCCAGCTTCAACTTGGTTTCAACTTTCAAGGAGTCAAGTATTTGCTGTATTCTCACTTGCAAGTGTGATTATGAAAGTGCCACCAAGGAAACCTCCAGTGGCTACCCCCTAACAGGGTCCGTGTAGCCAAACCTCATCTTATCTTTCTGCCTGCCTTGTCTCTTCCTACCATTTGCCTTTATTACTCTTCCCTGTTTGAAACTTTTTAACCTTAAGGCAAGCATGTATTAAGTTATGGTTTATATTATATTACATACACATGATACTTGGTACTAGAGTCTTATTTCCCTCTTTCAAGAGAAACATTTACACTTTTCTCTTTAAACAAAGGTCCCTAATTTCTAGGTATATGGTTTATAGAAAATCGCTTATCTTTTTGATTCTCCATTTAGGAGGATTAAGTGAACCAAGAGGTCCAGATAACCCAGATTAGCAGATCACAATTGAGATCTGGGATAGAGACAAAATGGGAGCCAGCACCAAGCTAAGGGTTCAGAGCACACAAGCCTGGAAGAGGAAGAAGTGAGGGCTTTCAAATCTATGTTTGTAATGGTTTGGGGCTGTCCTGTCAGGGTACTGGAAGGGAAGGTGGAGATAAGAAATAAATCCATCTTCACAGTCTGCCCATCTCTTTGTACTGTTTCACATCATTAAGCATCTATACATCTAGTGAAATGTTTAATGATCAAAATTTAAATCCCATAAATGGCAATAAACATCTACAGCATAAAATGATAAGACACTGTTAATGCTGAGTGAGATTATGATCAAGAACAACAGATTTACAACCAAGCTGAGGAAAGGGGACAACACCTCCAAAAGAAATTGAATGAAATATGTAATTTTAAGAGTATTTGTCCTCCTTTGGGGGACTTTATCACAGAAATTAGAGCATTTTAGTCAGAAGCTAGAATAAACCAGCCAGGCACATTTCATGAGTGGACACTGTTACCTAAGCCTGCAAGTTCATTTCCCATTTCTAGCTAATATAGCTCTTCTATATTGACCATTACAGTTCAACCTTGGGCAGTTTTCTGAGTGACATGAAAAAAAAAAAAAAAAGAAATGTAGTTTTGTCCAAAGATTTGAATTTTATCACTGAGTGCGTCTTGGGCGAACTATTAATCTCATCGAGTTTTTCATCAATAAAGTATGATAACACTCTTATTGTTATGCTCTGAAGGTTTATGTGTCCCCTAAATTCTTAGGCACAATTTCTAACCCTGAAGGTAATGATATATTAGGAGAATGAGATTAGACTGTGAAGTCAGAGTCCTCATAATTGATATTAGTACCCTTATAAAAGAAGACTGAGGGAACTTTTCTTTTTTCCCAGCTTCACAAACTATGAGAAATTTGTTTAGCAGCTATCCAGTTGATGATATTCCATTACAGCAGCCTAAACAGACTAAGATACACACACCCTTGTTCTAAAATGGAAACAGGTTTCAAAAATCTCAGTGGCTATATCCCAATGGACTGTGATGAAATAAGTCTCTATTTTATGGTGAAATAATGCCCCTCTCCATAAAAATGTTATATTGGTTAGGGTTCTCTAGAGGAGCAGATCTGATAGACGCTGGAAGCCACAGAACAAGAGGGATTAAGGATACAGTCCCAGTTTGAGACTAAAGGCCTGAAACCTCCTAGAGAGTTGCTGGTATGATTTTGCACTGAAGGGCCGAAGAAACTGGACTCAACATCCACAGGAAAGGGCAGTAAAAGACAAACCTGCTCAAGCAGAATGGAGCTCTTCAAAGCATGTCAACTTGTTTCTTCTTTCTGTTTTATTCCATTCACTTTAAAAGCCTATTGGCTACTGCCACCCATAACCACAGTGGGTCTTCCTCTCCTTAGTTCGGTAGCCTACATGCCAATCATCTCTAGAAACACCCATAGATACACACAGAAATGTGCTTTACTAACATGCTAAATATTTCTTAACCCAGTCAAGCCAACATATGATTAAAGGTCACAATCCAGCCATGTCAACTTGACAACTGCCATACTTAATCTCCAAATAGAAAAGCAAGTTCATTATTATGCTTAACACGACACAATTATCCTGCATACATATGAAAATGTATGGGATGTTGTAGTTTCCCACTGACCCTAATAAGAGGGCATGGTAATACTAGGAAATATCTTAAAGGATCTCCTGCACGCTGTAAAACTCTTTATGGAGTAGAAGTCCAATTTCTTCTTGGTAGTCTGGATTAATCACCCCATCGGGCCAAGGATTTAGATGAGTGGCACTGCGCCTGCCTTGGAAGCACAAGGTCCTGAGTTCAATCCCTTGTACCATGAAAAAAAAAAAAAAGAAATAAAGAAAGTTGGGGGGGGCCTGGGATTTAGCTCAGTGGTTCTGGCGCCTGCCTCGAAAGCACAAGGTCCCGAGTTTGATCCCCAGTACCGAAAAAAAAATCACCCCCATCAACACTTTAACTCTGTTTTTAGGCTGCTGACTCAGAGGCATGAAGGATCTAAAATGGCCAAAGGGACGCCTTGGCTTCCAGTTCACTGGAATCATTGTTGTGCTTCCTGGCAGAAGCCTTTCCTCTTCTGGTACTAAGACTTTTAGGCTAAAAGAGCTTAAGGTTACAAGAAAAGAAAGCAAAAATTTTGCTAGTGGGTCACTAGGGGTAATGCTGAGTGGTACCACTCCCATTTCTACCCTTGATTCCTGGACCTATGAATCCTGGTTATAGGTAAAACAGAACCATATATTGAACTCTGTATCAGTCACTTTCCTCCTGTCAGTAAGAAATACCTCAAACCCACAAATTAAATTATATTTTGGAGCACAGTTTTAGTAGGTTCAGTTTGTGATGGGAAGGCTCAAAGGGAAGAAACTCCAGGGTGGAGAAAAGCTGCCTACCTCATGGTGGCGAGGAAGGAGAGAGAAGAGGGAGTAGGTGTGGACAAGAATACAGCTTTTCAGATGTCCCAGTGACACACCTCCAAACAGGCCCCACCTCCTAACTACATTCAACTACTGAACTCATCAATAGATGAATCCTCTGATGAGTACAGTGTTGTTATGGTCCAATCACCTTTGAAACACATGAGGTTTTAGATCTAAACTGTAACATTCTGCCCCTGGCCCTCAAAGACAGTTATTCATCTCATTACGCAAAATGTATTTAGTATGGCTCTAAGAGTTGCCAAACTCTTAACAGTTCCAGCACTGCTGAAAAGTTCAAGTTCAAGGTCTCTGAGGCTCAAGGAGTCATAAAAATAAAAAAGAAAGTTAAATCTCCAACATACAATGGCACAGGGTACATATTTTCATTTCAAAAGGGAGGAATAAAAAGAAATAGCAAGACTGAAAATCAGCAGGGCAAACATTAAATCCTGCAGCTGAACTGTACTGCCTATAGTCTTACTAGAATTCTGTTCCAGCCTGATTCCCTCATTTAATTTTTGCTTACAGCATTCTAAGGTATCTCTAGCTAGAATCTCTAAACCTTTCCAAGCTCCTCTCACAAAATAGTTCTTCTAAAGGCTTTAGAACCACATGTTCAGGTACAATCATTCACAGGTTCAATTCATAGTCAGCCAACTCCAAAGTGCAAACTCTGGACAGAAGGGCCTGGTGGAAAAATGCTACCTACTTTATGATGTCAAGAAAGCAGAGAGAGAGAGAGAGAGAGAGAGAGAGAGGGAATATTCAGTTAGTGAACTCATCAATGTATTAACCT